TTTTTTCAAAGCAGACATTTCATATAAATTTTCACATCAGTATTCATTGCAGCTTAATTCACAATGGTCAAAAGATACCATTATTTTAGCTTATTATTTTTTAAAGTACTTTAAGCCTGGGGTAGTAGAATAATCCCAGGACTCAGGAGACAAAGACAAGACTATTGCAAAATTGAGGCCAGTGACACTAAAGTGTCTCAAAAAAGCAAAACAAGATCTGGAGGTGTAGCTCAGTATCAGGGTGATTTTCTAGTCTCTAGGTTCTACTGCGAGCACAGGAAAAATAGACCCAAAAGATGCACAAATAATAGTTCTTGAAATAAGCAAATGCTTTCATGGTTAATTCCAGCAAACGAAGGAGCAGAACCGCAGGAAGTGAAATGGGGTAGGTTGAATGAGAATGGCTTCCACAGGGTCATATGTTCAAACATTTGGTCCCAGTTGGTAAAAATGTTTGGGATTAGGAGGCATGGCCGTGTTTAAGGAGGTGTGTCACTGGAGGCAGGCTTTCGGGTTTCAAAAGGCTCGAGCCATTCCCTGTTATCTTTCTCTGCCTCCTACCTGTGTATCAAGATGTGATCTCTCAGCTCTTCCTGTCACCGTGCCTTGTTCTGAAACCAAGGACCCTCTGAACCCGTAAGCCCAATTAAATACTTTTCTATGTTGTCTTGGTCATCATCGTGTTTTGTCACAGCAATAAAAAAGTAACTAAGACATCTTTTAAAAAATTTGTTGAAACTTTGATGTTATTTGTTACTCTAGCAACTTGTCCTACTTATTGTAGTTGTTACTTAAAATTTACACACAACAGCCAATCAACATCCTGTGTAGTTCCTGTCAATCAATGTGATTGCAATAGCTTATTTCCTGTGATCTCCTTGCCGTTTCCTTATTGTTTAGTGCTTGTTTTTTTTTTTTATCTATAAGCCAGACCTCTTAGAGGCCATTTTGGAACCTTTTTTAATATAATGCATGAAAGGTAGGTAGTTTTTCCCTATCAAAGGTGGTTAGTGATACAGTGTCTTGGTTGTAAAAACAGGAATCCTATGAGATTATAGATGACCTTTGATCAGCTGTTATCCATCAGCACGGAAAAGAATGTCTGTAGAGAGAGTCCATCTCCCAAGGTAGTCGGACTCACCTTGAGCAAACAGTTTCAGGAAGAAGACCCTGCAGGAGAGAAACGCCAGCTATGGCTGCAACAATTTACCCATTCACAAGCCCCTCAGTCTACCCTTTATAAATGGTCTTAATTAGCTTTTTCCCTTAGCAGACCTCTCAATTTCCCACAGGAAAGAGGCTGCCCTGTAGTAAAAGATTCAAGAGATCCATTGTCTCAGGCTTGAATTCTGAAGTTATTTGAAGGACCCATTATCTAAGCAATTCTCAGCCATATATAACTTCTTTCTTATTTGGTATTTTCCCAAGTAAATTGGACAAATTTAATACTTTCAAGCCATACTTTTTCCTGTAGCACTTCAGACATTTTCCCATTGTGTTTTAGCATTAAATCTTATTCTTAAGTATGTGGGTATAACCATAGGTAATCAAACACAATGTATAAAGAAATGCTAATTTTGTTGACTGATAATAAAAATTTGGCTATAATAATATCCTTATGTATTACATATAACTTCTAAAGTATTTATGAGTGTAATTATAATGTAAATGTGCTATTAAAATTTTGTAACAGGGCTGAGACAGGAGCTCAGTGGTAGGACACATACTTAGCTTGTGTGAGGCCCTGGTTCAATCCCCAACACCACAAATACAAAAAATAAAGGAAAATATCACAATTGTGTGATATTTTGATTGTGTTCTGACAAATAAAGCTTGCTTAGAGTCAGAGGGCAGAGCTAGCCACTAGCCGACCAAAATTAACCATAGAGGTTTGGAGGACTATAGACAGATAGGAGACAGGAAGTAGTAAGGCAGGGCTGAGAGAGGGTCTCTGCTCTTTTGGAGGAAGGAACGAAAGAGGTAGAAAGTCACTGGTGGCTGCTCCCCTGCTTCTCTGATCTTTCAGGTTCTTACTCCGATATCTGACTCCTGATTTTTTTATTGATAATGAATGATTAGTGAAGGCTTCACACAATAAAAAGGGAAGTAAGTTTGTAGGCAAGTATGAAAATTGATTCCCCAATCTATCACAAGACCCAGCCTCAGAACTCTTGAGCATATACCCAAAGGATGCTCAATCATACAACAAGGACACTTACTCAACTATGTTCATAGCAGCATTATTCATAACAACCAGAACCTGGAAACAACCTAGATGTCCCTCAACCAAGGAATGGATAAAGAAAATGTGGTACATTTACATAATAGAGAATTACTCAGCTGTTAAAAATAAGGACATCAGGAAATTTGAAGGCAAATGGATGGAACTACAAAAAAATCATCCTGAGTTAAGTAAACCAGACCCAGAAAGACAATTTTGGTATGTACTCACTTATAAGTGGATAGTAGATGTAAAATAAAGGATAGCTATGCTACAATCCATAGATCCAGAGAGACTAGGTAACAAGGAGGGTTCAAGGCTGGACATCCAGATCTCCCTGGGAAGGGGAAATAGAAGAGATTTTTGTGAATAGACTGTTGCGAGGTGAGGATGGGAACATGAGCAATCATGTTGAGGGGGAGAGAGAGAGAGAGAGAGAGAGAGAGAGAGAGAGAGAGAGAGAGAGTACTGAAAGGGACTACTGGAAAGAGTGTGGGGAGCACATTTCAGGATCAGGTAAAAACCTGGCACAAGGGAATTTCCCAGGAGTCTACAAGGATGACGACAGGTAAAACTCCTAGCAACAGTGGACACATTGCCTGAACTTGCCATCTCCTGTGACCAGGCAAGACTTCAAGTGGAGGGAGTGGGAAACCAACCCAGCCACATGACCTTTGACCTACAATCTGTCTTGCCTATGGGATATGCTGGGGTATGGTGTAGGTGGATTTTTCCTGTCCTGCCTGCCAACTCCTAAATAACCACACCAAGACTTATCATTAATTATAAAAGATCAGCCAATAGCTTAGGCTTGTTACTAACTAGCTCTTACAACTTAAATTAACCCATTTTTATCAATCTACTTCGGCTCATGGCTTTATTACTGTCTGGTGACTTTATTACCGTCACTACCCATGCTGCTCCCACCCCATCTGACTGGTGACTCTCTGCATCTCCACCCTTTCTTCTTCACAGCGTCCTCTCTGCCCTGAAAATCCTGCCTAGCTATTGGCCATTCAGCTTTTTATTAAACCAATCTGAGTGACAAAACTTCACAGTGTACAAAAAGGTTATTCCACATTTCTCCCTTTTTGTCTAAATAAAAAGAAAAGTTTTTAACTCTAACATAATAAAATTATAAACAATCGAAACAATTATCAGGTAAGAATTACATTTACAATGTTCAGTTCATTTGTATTTGGCATATTTGGAGAAAATACTCCATTATTTATTTATCTTGATGAGTTTGAAGCTCTGTACCTAATTTACCTTCTATCATAACTAAGGAAAACTATAACTATGAATGCCTAATCTTCAACTCCACCAAAGACCCCAGAAGGATATTAAATTACCTTAGTAAAGAGGAAGTGCAGAGCAAGCAACTTCAAAAACTAAAAGAAATGACAGAAACAGGCTGGGCAGTGGTGGCGCACACCTTTAATCCTAGCACTTGGGAGGCAGAAGCAGGCAGATCTTTGTGAGTTCAAGGCCAGCCTGGTCTACAGAGCGAGATCCAGGAGAGGCACAAAACTACACAGAAAAACCCTGTCTCAAAAAACCAAAAAAA